CCTACCCCCCCCCCCCCGTGGGTGAGCGCCGTCGCCTCATTGTACAAGTGGGGGAACCGAGGCACGGGAGGCCCGGCCATCTTTATGCCCAGGGTCAGAGAAGTCGCCCCCTCCCAGGCTGCAAGGCAAGTTCTGGGAGGCGGGATGCAGATCAGGCTGGGCAGGGGCGGGGCGGGGCGGGGCGGGCCGGGCCTCCTGGTGAGGGTGCTGGGAAGCGCTCACCTGCAGATAGGGGATGACTTTGCAGAGGGCAGGGCCAAAGAGCCAGGACTCGGTGATGTCCACCAGCAAGCTGGCCGGCAGGCAGATGGCGGTCACCAGCACGTCGGCCAGGGACAGGTTGACGATGAAGTAGTTGGTGACGGTCCTCATGTGCTGGTTCTGCCACACGGCCAGGCAGACTGCGAGCAGGGCCGGTGAGGGGAGCCCCAGCAGCGCCCACCAGCCAGCACCCCCACGCACAAGCACAGCCACCCAGGGCAGAGCGGAGACCTACCCAGTGCATTGCCCACCAGGGCCACGAGGAACACAGCCACGTAGGCGGCGATGAGAACCCACTCGTACTGCTTGGGGTACAGGTAGTCACGCCACAGATAGAGCAGGAGCTGGTCGTCATAGTCGAGCAGCGCGGGCGACGGCTCCTCGCTGCCAGTGGGGACCCCCGTCTGGGCCGCTGGCGTGGCCGAGGGCTCCATGAGCTCAGGGGCCGCTGCGGCCGCGGGGCACCCCGGGCTCTGCAGAGAAGGGGAGCCCGGGCCAGCCTGCAGACGCTCCCGCAGACTGCCCGGGGTCTGGCACCCAGGTCTTGGGGTCTGGGCCTCAAATTCCTGAAGAAGGGAGGGAGGGAGCTTTAGGGAGCGTGCCAGGCTTACACCCTGTGTGTGAGCTCCCCCTTTCCCTCCCGCTGGGGAAGACCACTGTGCTGCCCCCAAGGCCGCCCACATCACTCTGGGGTAGCTCACCTGGCCCCTGCAGCACGGTTTCCCCACCCTGTCCAGTGGGTACCTGGAGGCCCAGGAGAGTCCTGAGCTCCACTGCCCACAGCCGCGGGAGGTCCAGCCCCTTGCTCAAGGTCACAGAGCTTCAAAGGGGGGTCTGTCTGAACCCACCAAATAGCTCTGATGCGGGAGGGAAGGGCACTCTGCTGCCAGAATTCTCTTCCTGAGGCAGTTCACCGGCCTTGGCTCTGGGCTGCAGGGAAGGGTTAAGGGAGTGCTGGAGACCCAGGCGAGCCCTCACACCTGCCGGCCCTGGCAAGGGCCCGAGCACATTCACCCCACCCCGGGGTGCAGGGGTGCGGGCACCAGTGAATCCGTCCCTGTCCCTGGGACCCAGGGGAGAGCCTCAGGCCCCCAGCGGGGCGCCCGGCCAGGGAGTGGCCCCAGTCCAGAACGCCGGGTTCCCAAGTCACGGTGTCCCCAGTCGCCACCAGGGGTCGCCGCGGGCGCTCCGGCCGCTCTCCATTCATAAATCCGGCCTCGGGCAGGCCCTCCCTCCTCCCTGGCTCAGGCCCCTGCTTCCACCGACTGTGCAGAGACGACCCCCGAATGCGTAGGAGGGTAGCTGGTCCCCAGAGACCCAGGGGTGGAGAGGGGACTCCCTGGTTCCCGCAGAGCGCCCGCAGACCCGCTCCCGCAGTTGGACCTCCCTGCACCTCGCGGGCTGGAGAAGGGGTCCTGAGGAGCGAGGCGCTGGGGGCTCTGCCGGAGCCCGCGGGGACACAGCCTCCCGGCCCGGTCACCCTCCAGACTCTGGCTCGCACATCCCCCGCCAGCCCTTAGGCACCCGCACCCCAGACCGGGGTGGTCCCCCGCGCTCTGCACCTGTTGGCTCTGAGACCCCGCGTTCCGGACTGGGGTCCCGCTCCCTGCACCTGGACCTCGCCCTCCTGCGTGGAAGAGGCCTGGGGCCGGGATGAAGGGGGCCGGGCAGCCCCTCCGAGGCTGCGCCGCCGCTCGCCCGCCAGGCACGCCCCGGCTTGAGCCGCTGGGCTCCGTGCCCGTGGGACTGCGCGCTGCGGGGAGCCCCGGCGGCCCCGAATCCGTGTCTCCCGGCCTGGAGGCCCCGGGCGCCCCTCACTCCCCCTCCGGCCCACCTCCGTGCACCGTCCGTGCGAGGCTCACCCAGGTCTATGCCCCGCCGCTCCGATCCAGGGCGCGCGCGGGGCCGCGGGCGCTGGGGAGGCGCTGCCTCACCTGCAGATGAGGAGGGAGGCTCGAGGGAGGCTCGCGGGTGAAGATGCCCGCCCGCCCGCCGAGCTCCAGTGCTGCCCAGCCTCTCGCTCCCCGCAACGCCAAAAAGCCCAGCTCGCAGTTCCTGTGTGGTCCCTCGCCTCCTGGTCCTCCTTTCTGTCCACACCCCGACAGGGACGTGGGGTGGGGGGTGGGGCACAGGCTTGCTAGGCCGGCAGCAGGGGCTGGGCTCCCCTGTAGCTCGGAGGGTCATCTCTGTCTGTCACACCAGCCCTGAGGGTGGGCGTTTCTGTCCCATTTCACAGGGAAGACCCTGGACAGGACTTCCATGACTGGCCCAAGGTCACACAGCAGAGGCAGAGCTGGGATTCAAGCCTGGGCGCCTCTCAGGTCTGCCAACCCGCTCGACAGACAGCGGCGTCCTGCCCTCCAAGGCCCTCAGCTGCTGCAGGCACACGGGCACCGGCAGCCAGTTCAGGGTGTGAGGAGAGCTGGCGGGCAGCCCCGCCCAGGGTCAGTAGGCTCTCAGGGTGGGACACCTGGTAGGGACCCCACGGACGAGGAGGTGGCCCTGCAAGGGGGTCGTGGTGTTGTGGCAGCTGCTGGACACGAGGGGCAGCAGGGGCAGTGTGCGGGAGCGTGCTGGGAGCTGGGGCAGCACGGCCTGGTGGTGAGCGTCACCTCTGTCACCTCTGTCACCCATGTGGAACAGGAGGGGGCGCGGAGGCCAGACTCAAGGCAGGAAGGCATCTTCAGTGGGCAGTGGGTCGGTGCGCCCCGGGATTCCTGAGCTCCGTCTGCCCTGCCCTCCCCAGCTGCTGGCAGAGGTGGGAGTGGATGAGGGGACAGAGGGGAGTGTGGCAGGAGCGTGGACGTGCGTGTGGACACGTGCACGCCTGCACTCGTGTGCGAACTCGCGAGGGTTCGGGTGTGGGTCTCTGTTCAGGTCAGGGCTACAGGAGCCTGGAGAGCGGGGAGTGACTGAGACTGAGGCTGTGGGCCGGGGCTTGACTTGCCCTGCGTGCCAGAGTTTGAGTGTGACGAGTGTGTGTGTGTGTGGAGGGGTGTGAGTCTGAATGTGAACTGGGGCTTCCGCCAGCACCAGCCTCTGCCTGTCCCCGTGCCTGTGGGTGCCTTTGTGTGCACGGCTCTGTGAGTGTGCGTGTGTGCGACCTGAGTGTGCATCTGCTCCCACGGCGATGACTCATCCCTGTCTAGAGCTGCGGCTGCTGTCATGTGGGGGCTGGGAGGAGCGCGCAGGGACCCTGGAGTGACAGCGGCAGTGAGCCTCCTCGTGAGGGCAGGTCGGGGCCCCCAAGTCTGTGTGGCAGGGGCGCTGAGCAGGTGCAGCCCAAGCGTAGGCCCAGCCCCAGGGTACAGAGCTCTGCAATTCAAGGCCTCTCAGATGCCCTGGGTTGGAGTGAGCAAAGGGTGCCCCAGGTCCCTGAATTCATTATACATTATACATGGGAGCGTGGTCTGTGTGGGGAGGGAATCGTAGCCAAGGACCCCTCATCTTAAGTTCCATCTGCCCTCAGCGGGACTCCCGTTTGCCAGCCTGTCCCCTCTACCCCCTGCACCCCGAAGATGGCTGCTCCTGAGTGACTCCACAGGCAGCCGGCCTCTCTCCTCCCCGACAGGGCCCTGCCTGGCGGGAGGCGCTGGCCCTGGGCCCTCTGGTCCCAACTTGGCCCACTCGGCCACGGCCAGAGTGTGGAGGCGTCCTGCTGTGTACTTGGGGGGGCCCAGGGTCCCCAGGGCCAGCAGCGCTCGGGAAGACAGCCGTTTGTCTGTGTGCTCTGGGAGCTCCTGGCCAAACGCCCATGCCCAGGAAAGGGACCCGAGGACCAGGTCCTCCACGTCCAGGCTGCGCCCTCAGCCCTGGTGCCGCCCATACCCGGGGAGGGCCGCCCAGAGCCATCGCCGTGCCTGCTGTCCGTCAGCGGTGCTCGGCGGTGCTCTGCTCACATGACCCGTTCCCGGAGCCAGGCAGCCCAACCGTGTTGATCTAACCCTGAGCCCCTGAGCCACAGGTCCCTGTCACATCCATCTTCAAGTGTCAGCCGGGCCTTGGCCCCAGGTGCTCCTCTGTCCCCCAGTCGGCCGTGAGGCTGTGACTCGTGGTAACCTGTCTGGCTGGGACTGGAGACGCGAGAGGTAATTGGATTTTCCACCGTGATGCATGACGTGGTGGGGACCCGGGCGTGGGCGGGACACCGGGGCTGGCAGAGATGGCCAGCCAGCAGAGGGGCAGGGTGGGCATGGGGCGGGCAGCAGGGACGGGGCTGCGGGCTCAGTCTCGGGAGGCCGCCGAGGCCGCCCTGGGCCCTTCCAAATGCTCCTGGCTGCGCTCATGCTCTGTGTGGGTGGCCTCTGCCTGTGCTTCTCCTCCTCAGGGAGGCCCCTCCGCAGGTCTACGCCGTTCGAAGGGGACCAGCATGCACTGGGAGAGCAGGGCCCAGGGCCCAGAGGCTGGCATGCCCGGGACTTCAAGGCCAGAGTGCACCTTGACGCCAGGGCCAGAGCAAGGGAGAGGTGGGGCCGGCCTCGGAGCGTTCACGCCCCTGCACGCGATCAGCACGTGTTGATGGCCGTGGCCGCCGAGGCCCGAGGAGACGAGTGGATGGGGGGGTGAAGCCCTGGGCGGCGGCCTCTGAGGCGGGACGGGTGGGGATGATGGGACCCGGACGACAGTGACATTGTGTCCAGAGAACTGACGCCTGGCCTGTCAGGTGGCAGGTCTCGTGGGGAGGGAAGTCCGGGGCCGTCCGGGCCGTCCGAGAACCAGGCTTTGACGGTCGCCCTGGTGCCATCTCACCTCTGCTGCCATTGCTGTGTCAAGATTTCAAGTCACCTGCTGGGGCCAGAGAGCCAGTTCCTAAAACAGTAGCTGTTGACGCCTGCGTTAGAGAGCAGCCTCTCTGACAAGGAGCCCCCCCCACCGCCCTACGGCCTAGAAAGAGGGGCTTCCCAGGCTGGTCGGAGGCCAGAAAGCTGCCAGGAGACACGCGTGTTGTGGCCATGTGACCCTGAGTGCGACTTCCCTTCTCTGTGCTTGGATCTCTGTAAAGTGGAGGTAACGTTGTACTGAGTCGTGGGGGAAACCATGCTCCCTAAAGACCATGTCCCGGGCTGGCAGGCGGCATGGTGGTTAAGGCACTGGACTCCCCCATGGCCAACCGCAGTTCAATCCTGGACCTGGCGGCTTGCCTTCTCACTCTCCCTCTCTGTGTCTCTCTGGTCAGGTTAAAAAGTAAGAATTATAAATAAAATTAAATAATTAAAAAAAAGATGTCCTAGAACCTGTGAGTTTTACCTCATATGGAAAAGCACTTCGCTTGAGCGAGGAAAGGTTAAAAAGTAAGAATTATAAATAAAATTAAATAATTAAAAAAAAGATGTCCTAGAACCTGTGAGTTTTACCTCATATGGAAAAAAAGCACTTTGCTTAAGCGAGGAAGTTCAGAATTTCGAGATGCGCCTGCATCCTGGAGTGCCTGGGTGGGTCCTCAGAGCGGGC